CTCTTGTCATCCAGGCTGGAGTGCAGTGGTGCAATCTTGGCTCACTGCAACCTCCGCCTCCTGGGTTCAAGCAATTCTCCTGCCTCAGCCTCCTGAGCAGCTGGGATTACAGGTGCGTGCCATCACGCCCGGCTAATTTTGTATTTTTAACAGAGATGGGGTTTCATCATGTTGGTCAGGCTGGTCTTGAACTCCTGACCTCAAGTGATTTACCCGCCTCGGCCTCCCAAAGTGCTGGGATTACAGGCGTGAGCCACCGCGCCCGGCGCACAGACTACATTTTACAAAAGGCCCTTAACCCTCCAGCTCCTCATGGTGACCAGACTAGAATCAGAGAGGATTACCAAACAGAGGTTCATTCTGATGCCTCGTCTAGTGGACAGAGAAAATGATTTCTCATTGGCATCACTGCTTTTCCTAAAAAACAAACTGAACTTCAGATTATTCTTTTTGTTTTCTGAATCGGCGAGGGTCTAGTGCAGCGAGATATGTTTTGTGACGTCTCTTTGATTTGTGCCTATTTCTCTCCTGAGGTTACGTGTCCACTTTGTCTTTTCTTTTGGTTTGGTGAATCCCCCGTTGGATGCCGGCAGCAGTGTCCCCTACACGGAAGGACTGTGATGAGCCCAGAGCCTCATGCCTTCACCTGTCTACGCCTATCCAGTGCTATTCTCGTTCTCTGGGCACAGCCTCCTAGGCTGCTGCTCCTCCTCCTGTAAAATGGGCACAGTATTATGTGCCTTGTGTTTTCTTCGATTCAGCAGCCTTTCTGCAGATTATCTGTGGCCCCTGGGGAAAGGTGTTGGGGTCCCAACACTCCATTACGGGGACTGCAGCTGAGGCCTGGCTGCGGGTCTCCCTACACACTCCCCAGCGGTGAGCCCGGCGAGACACCCAGCAGATGATCTTGCCTCCCACTCTCCAGCACTCCCCTCTGCTCACTTTGTCTGCAGCGGTGAGGCGGGTCCACGGCTTATCTGCCCTGCGGTCATAGTCCTGAGCGTCAGCCACCTCCACGTAGTCACTGAAGCGGATGAGGATCTTTCTTTCCCGAAGCTCTTCCACGGTGGGCCTTTGGCTGAGCTGCAGGGAGGGAGAGCGACAGACCCAGTCAGCCAGACGGGTTGACCATGGCACTCGGTCCTGTCTGTGAACTTGCAGGTGTGGAAAATAAGGTTCAGTGAGACAATGGATGCGTTGCATAGTGAGTGAGGGGCAGGGGCAGGGGGAGGGCCGGGGTAGGGGGACCCAAGTCTCCTGACTCTTGGGACTGGGCCCTTTCTCAGTCCTAAGAGAGAGCTTTGTTATCCCTTACATACCCTCTAGGCCAACCTCTTATCTTTTTTTTTTT